TGCAATGTCTTTTTTCACCCTGACAACCAAAAAGCTCAGGGACAAAACCTGCATATTTGACATGCAAGTAGTCAAATAAAAAATGTTCAATTACTGAAACAAAACTCTGGCATACTTGAATTTAAAAGCAATGCTGCTTGCACATTAATATTGCTAGTACTATTAAATATAAAAATCATTCAAGTGAGTATTGACAAAACACAATGTAAAAAAGGCACAAAGGCTCCCCATAATGAACATAAAATAAGCATAACATAAAAAACACCGTGGGGAATGGAGCAATTTGTAGACACAGGTAGGCATTTATTGATCTTTATACTGTAGTGCTTTCGCTTTAATTGCGGTCTGAATAAATAAGGCCCGAAACATTCTTCGCGCACTCTGATCAATCTGACATATTGGCTAATGAAATAAAAGCTTCACCATTCTCCCAAGCTTTGCAGCCATCTCTTTTTGGGCTGTAAAAGGAGAGTTGGTGATGTGCAATGATAAACACCCATAAAGCCCTGTCTCATTTCACTGAGAGGCCATTATGGTGCCATCCCAAGAGGTGCTTTCACTCTCCGACAGTTAGTCAGATTCTTCTCATCTATAAAACATGCAGGTTACGTTGAGGGGAAGCTGTAAACTGCCAGTTTGCTCATTTAGTAATGTCTGGGGAGTGTAGCTATCAGGTATTCATCTTCCGCCTCCTGGCCTCTTGCTGTGTGGCCCTGACTGGGAGGACACTTCCTCAGTCCTAATGTACAAATGAACGGTTAGAAACTCCTGTCGCTCCACCACTACTCCAACAAATGGTTTTATTAGCACTGCAGAACATTCTATATATTGATGCTTTCTGCTGTCCGGAAAGGAGGTTAAATAATTATGTTAAATATTTTTAAAAAGTCAGACTTACCACCACGCTGCAGCATGTATATTCCATTATACAAGCCTGCAGGCTGGTTATTAAACTAGTTGGTAAACGGGAAAAAACAAGCGAAACCACAAAAACCTCCATTTGTACTATCCAATCTTCATTTTAACATCCAATGCGCTCTTGGTTAGGCTAATTGTTAATGAATTTAACCCTAACTTTGTCTTTATTCAGGTTGCCTGCTTCACACACAATGCCCGTGGGACACATAGTAAAGTTTTCTGGGTCTGTGGCTAATTGAAAAAGTACACCGCGTCAAACATACAGCCATCTATCTTGCGTCTGTGCAATAACAATGCAATCAAAGGGTAAGTGCATGGAATAATATGTTTCCCACTAATTGCAATTGAGTGCATTTCCCTAATGAAGACCAGACTTGACCCATAGGGTTTTTGCTTACATGCAAAACATTGTGTGGGTATGTGCACTTATTGGCCTCTGTGCCTGTTGTTGGGAGGGGCCAACTTAATTCTTTGTTTTGAGTTTAAGCATAACGTTCGAACCACAAAGCTGTTTTAGTAAATGCTTTGGTGGGGGAGGGGAAAGGGACTGAAGAAAACATGGAGCTAACAAATGCACTCTCCCATGCACCATGAAGCACAGGCCTGTTGTCTTTTATGATGATTAATCTCAAAGCCCACAGGTTTCAAAGACCCCTCCATCAATACTCTGGTTGCAGGAACCAGCACATGTTCTGATGGGTCTGATAAACAGGGTGTGCAAATGCTACTTCGCCCCCCCTCAAAACACTATGAAAGAAGAACATGCCTCCGACAAGCACCAGGCTTTGACAAGCACAGATTTGAATTTCATCGAGGCTACTCACAACAACATCTCTGTTCTATCAAAAGAAACACAACAAGGGAAATGCACAAACCAATAGCTAAATTCATACATTTCAGTAAAGTTTGGAATGTTTTTAATTTGGAATATTAAAGTTCTATAGCAACTATAACAGTTCCAAAGGATCATTTTGGGAGCCTTCACTATAAGTAGGATCAAACCCAACAGCATCATCACTGTTCTCATAAGAATCAACAGCAGATACATATTTATCCTACTGCTTACGTCATGATAAACAGGCTAATGTTGTGACAAGCATAAACAGAGGTCTGTGTGAAAAAAACATGAATAAATAATGATTATCAACTGAAATGGGATTGTACGAGTACTTGCATTCAATGATGTACAAGATAATTGCCTTTACAATGAAGAAGTATTTGAGCAGATCCCGCTAATAACATCAGTACTATTACTTGTGTTCTCATTGCTGTCAGGACTTTTGAGGAAATGCAATAGTTACTTATTAGCCAAAGTTGTTCAGAGAAATAAAAGCGAGTCATCATTGTCTCTGTTGTGTTTACATTGGCTACTTAAAAACCGATTGCTGGAGATCTTAATAATCTAATGTATACAAAACTATCATCTCTCAAGTGCTTAAAAAAAAGCTGTTATTCACAGGCTGGGAAGCTCATTACATGTCATAATCTTATACCAGTCATTTCTTGTCTTAGCCACAAAACTGGAAATAAACTGTCTTAAAAAAAGAAAGTGTAAACATCTAAATATGTTGACATACCACAGCAGACGGTTTTGATTGAGACGCCAGCTGGTGTTTAGAGTGAAAGCCTAAACCTAGTTTCCCATAATGAAGCTCTGAGGGAGGCAACGCACTCCTCATAACATGCTGCTTGAGTTGGCTTCTTTACTCTTCTAAACCTGAAACATACACACACACATAGATTTTTGGGACAAACACAAGATCTCCCTGGTCGCTAGTACAAAGTGGCACTGGGTGTGTGTGTGTGCACAGCTTGAGAAAACTCCGCTAAACAAATGATTGAGGATTTGATGCCAACTTGCATGGGTCTGGCAAAACAACCAAAGAAATTCTTCATTTTGGGGGTGCCAAATTGTCTTACGACGGGTAAACATAATCTCGCCCCCTCTCTGTTGGACATAGTTTATTTGTTTGTTTATAACTTGCATCTTCAGGAGAGAAAGTCTGTTCCAAAAGAGTAACAGTTAGAATAAAAAAAGTTGAATTAAAATGTGCTTATTATGGCTAACAGCAAGAATTACAGTATTTTTTCCAAAACAATGTCACCCTGCGCTTCACTGCCCTTTAATGACAGCATCCCCAATTCTAAAGTTTCTTCTCATTTTGAATGTTAACGGCACTGACTTTTCACAAAGAGAAAGTTGACTTTATTAATGTCGGTCTTAACTTGACTCAAATCTGACCGGTGTCGATTGGCCACTATAGGGTCAATTTTTTGTATCCCCACCAGGTCACGTCTGTTTAGAAGTTAAGATGAGTCGGCATTTTAGCTTACAAGGTTTCACATGAGTTGATTATTTTTATTTTTTTATAAAGAAATCAGTTCTGAATGCAGCCTAGAAAGCATGGGCTGGTTGTGGCAGGGCCATTTAGAAAAACAAGATTAATCAAACATTAACCTACAATTACCTTTTTGTGTTACAGACATTTGACCTGACTTTGTCCTTCTGCAGTCAAATTTAGCTTGATTTTAAATTCCCCTTTCAACACATTCTGCTTAAAAATGGACGAAGCATCACGCAGGACAAGATCATCAATACAAATACTATCTGACCTTCTGCCTCCTTTCATCCTGCCGGCCTGCGCGGACATGTCTCTTCATTAATTCCAGCAGCACGGGCACCATTAATTGGCCCAAAGTTAATAGAGTTGTATTTTTTATGGAAATCACTATGCATCTGTTTTCAGGCCTTTACTCTGTTAACATACTCGTGCTAACCTGTAATATTCAAATGACAAAATGGCACGTTACTGTCCAAGCCCTACAATCTGCATTGAAATCAAATATTGAATTATTCTTCTTTAAAACTGTTAGCAAATAATTTGCTTAGGTATTCAACCTTTGACACAGTTCATAATTTTCTCCTCTCACCGTCACCTTTCCCACGGCATAGGTCTACAGCCTTGGGTATAGCTTCTATCTCTCTTTAGGAGGGGCAGCTTGGGCGCATTGTTGTTGCCAGCTTATGACCGAGCACACGCCGCCATGAGGTAGTTTACTGTTCAGGGACGTAGGTTCCCTGGCGCACATTCTTTTCTATGGACGAGAGCTCTAGTTAGATTCAGGGTCCATATTTGTTTAGTCTCACTGATGAAGAATGTTGATTATTACACTCCGAACTAGTTAAAACCTCGAGCTACAGAAAGAGTTCTTTAGAATTGGTTTGGCAACCGCTGTGTCAACTCGTGACACACCAACTGTTTTGTCAATTCTCCGGCCTTAACTCCAAATAAACCATCAGTGTTTGCCATCAAAGCTCCAGCTCTCCTCGTGTCTCTTTGAGTCCTGACTCTCCATTGCTACAGAAGTGTCCCCAACAAAACCTATGTTGGATATTAAACACAAAGATAATATAAGAAATACCTTTCACTAAATTATGAATAGCTCTGCAATGATGAGCCTACTACTTTATCGATTAGAAGAGTAACTGGCATATTAATCAATAATGAAAACAAATGTTAGTTGCAGCCCTGGATATTAGACTTTTTTGTGTATCCAGATTTGTAAATTGGAGCCTAAAGTTAGAAACAAAAAGGGGAACTTTGAATTTGATGACTGTTACTTCAGTAACCTACAGTCAAAGATTACCAATGTCTCTATGACTTCATAAACAACAAACGCACACTAATACTGTATGGACATTTGTGTTGGTGAGAACCTCAGTATGTGACAAAGAGGAGGGAAGGTTTCAGAGTTAGTATTTTTGCAATATTCCAGCTAAAAGGGAAGTAAACATATACCCACCATTACATATTGACTTGCTCTAACTATCTGTAATGCCTTTCATCAGATGCTGAGTTTTATTTCAAACATTAGACAGGTAGGATGTTTTATTTGCAAGTTCCAATTCACAAGCACATGGACACAAAATTGTGTGAGATGAATGGAGTATACAATCAGTTTTAAATATTGCATACAAAAAATGCCTATGCCCTAACCTACAGCTATAAAATGTGAAACATTTGCAATAACTGTATTTCATGCACCTATCCAGAATTAGTTAAACTCACACTGAAGACTTGTATTCAAAAGACGCGTTAATTGAAACAGTTAAGACATTGAATGTAATGTTTTATTATCTTCTTATGCAGGGTCCCATTTGTCAGCTTCTCAACCCTGCAACTCCCTGGAGCGATAGTTGTCAATAACAGACCCAAACAATACAGCCAAACTGTAAGACAGCAGAGAAAAACAAGGAGGCTCATTACAGCAGAGCTCCCACATAAATGTTTCACTAAAGAGGCACGCAATGGCCTATATCATGACCTTTCATTCTAAAATATGAATACTGCTTTGTCATTTTGTTTTTAGGCTTGACAACAAAGCTGTTTAGCCATGAGTGAATGGATTTATGGTGCGAGTCCATCATTCATAACTGGGCTCCTCCATTAGTTTGGGAGGGGAAGAAAATGTGTGACAAAGTGTGCAAGTGCAGTAGGAAAGATGAGAAGATTGGCTACGTCTTAAAATGCCAACAGTAAAAACGTTTGACAGTGGGTTGAAAATAAAATAATAGAAAATAAATATAATATATATTTCATTTCAAACCTTTATTTAACCAGGTGGTCTCATTGAGAGCATCGATCTCTTTTTCAAGGGAGACATGCTTCAATCTTGTGTTCTTGTGGGATCATTGTGAGCAGTACTATGTTTAAGGGCTGATTCAAACAGTAATTGTGTTTACTATGTTTTCAAAGCCTTTAGACGTTCAGTACAGAGCTACCCTGTTCGGTTCGTCACCACTCATCAAGACACCCATGACGGCATGATAAACGCACCTATATCAACTGTAATGTGATGTGTTTCATCAACAGCGCCTGGGGGACTGTGGAGGCTGGAGGATGGCCATGTGGTGCCAGATTATCCAGGGAAATGAAATCTGTTGAGAGTACACAACAACCTCCTTTGAGTCTCCTGCCTGTCATAACTTCCTCCAATCTCTCATCCCTCCTATTCTTTCCCGAGACCTGGCAGCTTCTAAAAGCACACCTAAAAATACAGTGTCTCAGTGTCACCTTGTCTTCACGTTTGTCTAAGTGGCACAACCCTTGACAAAAAAAACTAAAATGACAGAGCTAAATTGTCTCCCATATTCTACTGTTCCTCATGCCATTTCATCCACAGCAGATTGCGTTCTTACAAATCAATCGTTACCTGCTAATAAGCAGTTTCCACACCGCTCTTTCTTTGGTATGAGGATGAAGGACGCAATCCTTCATCCTCATACCAAAGAAAGAGCGGCGTGGAAGCTGCTTAAGAGCCGAATACTTACAACATCCTGAGTTTCAGCCACTTGAGATATAATTAGTTACACCATCATGCTGAAGTACAACACAATAATGCGGTAACCTAGATTTTGTTTTTAGCTCAGATTTCTTTACTCGGAAGATAATGTATGTATCGCATGGTTGTTTGGTCATGTTTTTTTTAAATAAAATTATTGTATAAATATGTTTCACATTTTATGTTTTTCCATGCTATTCTATCCACCTTCCTCCTATCTAACTTTCATTATTTCACTCCATCTACCATTCTCTCCATAATTCATTGTGATATATAATGTGCTCTTTTTGTCCTGGTAAGGCCTCCCTGATAAAAGAGATCCAAGATCTAAACCCCGGTTGAATAAATTGAATCAAATCCAGATAAGTGTAATTGAATGGGAATGTAGCTTTGGTTATGTGTAGTGGGCGTTTCTTACACGTGTCTTCAAACAGCAGACAGAAACCCCAGGGCCACCCACACCATTATCAATTCTGTTCCGACACAAAGACAGCAAAGTCTTGGCGTTATATATTGGGAACCTTAATCTACTTTGTTTGTGCTTGGAGGGGAATATTCTATTAAAATGATTAAATTGTATCAATAGCTGACTGGAGCATCAAAGGCCAACTAAATTGCAGCCCCTTACTTCTCTAAAGTCACTTATTTGTCCATTTCATCATGCTAATGGCAGAAGCCATCATCCCATTATAGCTCCACAGCTGAGCGAGGTTAAACAAATGCAGTTTGTTTGAGGTCGTACTACAAGACAGGTCTCACTGCTCTCCCCCTGTACATCACAGCAAATCATCAGCTTGTCTAGAACTACTCTATATAAGCCACCCTGTGAACCCTGGTGCATTAAACATCTCTTCACTCACTGTCACTCAAGGCATAAGTGTTCTCTTCTGATTCTTATCAAAAATAAAGCAGTAGCATGCACAACCCTTTGATGGAAGTAACATTGTATTAAACTTATAACATCAAATAGCTTTGTTCGTATGGGGCGTGTGTTACACATTAAATGTCAAGCATCTGACTGAATATTCTCATCATGCAAGGCCTTGTAAACCTAATAACCGTCTTAAATCATCAACTGAAGAAATAAAATATTTCACTATAAAAAAGGTACCTTCCACAATGTCTGCAATAAAAATGTTAATTTTGTCATTAATGAGCCCAAATGGGTTCTGCTTTTGTAAAACTGATGGAGTTCATTAGTGCTCCTTGTTTGCAGGGTTGTTACATCAAACACTGACGTGTAAGCTCCAAGACCTCTCAAAATAATAACTCCATCATGCCTAATAGACTTATATCTCCTAGACTTTGTGCATAAAGCTCACCGTTCGTCATAGCCAGGTGAACCTAGCCTCGTTTCTATTACCATTCCGCTGAACGCAGGTCTTTGTCTATAATGAGTCCACATTCCCTAAGCCCTACAGTAACCACACAATCACTTGTGTCAACAAAAGGGAAATCCATTTCATCAGGACGTCCAGTCAGGGCTCCATTACCATTCACGAGGGCAACACTTACTCAGCCACGTAGCCACTGAGAGCTGCTGCTGACGGCTGGAGTTTAGTCTATGTTATGAAAGGGTGTTCCCATTAATACTGTACAAAAGATAGCGCATGTTCGATTGGAAAAAGATTTATATAAAATCACCACAGGTCACTGAGGTCAGTTAATCACATACAACATAAAACCAGTTCCCTCCCATGGTCAAATACAACAGCGTGTTTCAGAGTAATGGTGAAGACAATACACATCGCTGTGACGCAGAGAACTTACAATTATTCTTATACTTCTGTAACTCGTCTTAATGGTGGTGAGCATTCAGCAGTGTTCTTTAAGGTCAGGGCCATTGCAGTTTAGAGCATTTTGTCATCAACTAGCCGACTATCTCCCAAAACATTTTCTTTTAACATTGCTTGCTTGCAAGTTTTGAAATGTATGTTTGGATTTTTACCTCATTTGTTTGAATATAGGAAAGGCTGCTTTTAACCATGTTTACTACAGGCTTTGCAAAAGAGAATAATAAATGTGTTTTCTGGTTTGGCGCAGTTACTGCTGCTATTAAACAAGACTTTGGTGTAAACAGTCTCAAAAGATTCAATGGTGTTAAATGGCCTTCACATTTGAACAGATAGCTGATGGCTGTCCAACATCCAGCAGCAGACACCTACAGTATGATGAGGTCACGGTTTATTAAGATCATGCTTAGAATTGCTCCACACCATTTCTTTGAAAAGGCAGAAAAATATCTAGGACTGTCTTCAATAAATAACCTGAGACACAAAAAGATAGATATTAACACTGATCTGCAAAACGTATTATTATTATTATTTTTAAAGAAACAGAATAGGATTAAAAACTTTACCACAAAAAGGATTTAGGAATAAATGTTTGGAATTGCTTTAAAGTTTTAAGCTAGGAGAAAAAAACAACAGCCATTGAAAATGGCCAGTTGAGAGCTACTTTGAAGAACATGGCCCCTGGTTGTTCAGCTTTGAGAGAAACTTGTACATGCTCACAAATATTGAATGAACTGCCCTGGGTTATAGGAATTGCATTTTCATTTAAAGCTACTCAGCAAACATCACAGTCTTTCACTCAAGTTGCTTCCAGGCGCTCTCATATAGAGTGATTTCTCTGTTTAGCAAACAGAGAAATAGAGGGGGGGACACAATTTCATATCTACATTAAGCTCTGATGTTTTAAATGGAATTTCAACATACACTTAGTCAAAGTAACGCTGCATTGCATTATTTTATTTCTGCTACAACACAGCAATATTATGGATAGCATGCAGTTAGGTTAACCACCTCTCTTCAGATATGTTTCAATTATCAAATGGAAAAGAAAGTAAACACCCTCACAAAATGTGTTTCATATTTCTTCTCTCACTTGTGACATTATGTTGCTTATTATCTGCACCATTATCTATATACTATACATAGTAAGCCATTATGGAAAACCTTGCCACAACGCTGGCCTGAAACCAAGTAGCTAATCAGTATTTTTGCAAAGGTGCACACTTTTCGGTGCTCGCTGTTTACATGGCTTGCATTTGTTTTTTTCCCGTTGACAGAATTTGCAGGAGTATTAACTTACACTAACATGAGGGAACTGAGGTAAACATGGCAAACAGAAGTAGGGAGAATAAACTAATGTTCAAAGAGGGGTTTTGTGAAGACCAGTGAATCGCCTGCTGACGAAGCGCAGGGCACACTGCCTGGGGATTGTGCAGAGAAACAGTCAGCAGTCAGGGGTTGATTTCTCCAACCCTCTCCTTTCTCCTGCACTTTACTCTGCAAGTAAAGAGCTAGTCTCACCCAGCATCTCCCCACATTTTTCCACAGAATAAAATAACTCACTCCTTCCTTTGTGCATTAAAACTACACCAGTTCACACATACTTCATCTCCACATCTCCTACAAGGCCACAAAAGTTCACAGACACGCTCCAACTTCTTCTATGCTAAAATACCGTTGAAACCTTTGAAACCTTGACTGAGCTCTAACATCAGCATCTCTCTTTTTATTTTGTTTCTAAATGTGTTTGAATTACCAAAACCGGCACAATATTGAGGATGTTTCTGTGTTATTGGAGAAGCAGATGTTGATGCCTTAGAATTTCCAGTTTTCACCTCAAACTGTTCTAAAGAAACATGTGAACAGGAAGGAGAAAGACTGGATTCATCCATCTGTAATGCAGCACCAGCACAGTCATCTCACTCCTCAAACTCACTCTGCTCTCAGAGCTAGAGACACTAAGGTAGAGCCACAGTGCCCCCTACAGGTCAGCAGATATATTAGCTTTAGGATCACTGGGCCCTTGCATCTCGTGGTCAGCTTGCTGTGCTTTCGTTTAAAATATTTACCTGCTTTATACTGTAAAGCAAACCTT